CTCCTCCTCTTCTTCTTCTTCTTCTTCTTCATGCCAGGCCTTGCTCCCAGGGATTTCTTTTTGGTGCACCGGGTGGAGGAACCCTGACAACACTCTCTCGAGCTTTTGTTTATTCCTTTGTTTTAATCTCCGTGAGGTCTTGGGATGGGATGTAGTTCAGTGGTAGAGCAGCTGCCCATCAGGCTTCAGTCTCCATATTTGATCCCAACACCACATACACAAACACAGAAAGAAACACACACACACAGAGAGAAAAACCCCTCCATGATTCTGCTGTGCAAAACAAGGTTGGGAACTCATCATGATTAACAAAACCATGTCACCTATAGAAACTCTTTAAATAGTTGATTTGCCCTTCCCTCCTCACGGCTACAGAGTGAAGGTCCTTTTATCATTTATTCGCCTAATTTACTGGTGCTGAGGATACATCCCGGTCTGCCTTTAGCCCTGACCTCCTTGTTTCTAACTCTCCACCCAGCTCCAGAGTCCAGCCTACCCTGTCACAGTTTGTTTATCTTCTGTCTCCCCTGGATGAATGGAAGCTCCGTGAAGGAAGAGACAGTTTGGGTGTGTGTAAAGATGATCAGAGCTGAGACAGGACTTATTCTAAAAAAAAAAAAAAAAATCAATAAAATTTTCCCTAATGAAAAGAAGAGGCTATGAATCAAACTGAATTCCACACTTGTTCTTCCTCTCATTACGTAAAAACCTTATCTGTGCCTGGCTCTAAAGCAAGCTCAAAGAACACAGATAAGACAAAAGCCCTGCATGTACACTCTGGTGTTTGTGTGTGAACAAATACAGCCATGCGAATACTTAACCTTCATTCCCCGGGCCTGGGACAAAAACCTGGCCGGAAACTTACAACCAGGAAATGCTCCAGGACTAGCTAATCCTATTGCCCCTTTAATCTTTTCAGCTATAAGTATTTCTCCTGTAACGCTTTCTCAGTACTCCACTTACTATGCACTTTTTTTTTTTTGCTTAATCTGTACTTTCTTTTTTTTTGTACACAGCATTCCTATTTCATAATTATGTGCATACATACATCTGTACCCAGTGGGGGGGGGTGGGTAATAAAGTATATACAGTCAAATAAACATCACATGCTGATGTTTAAGTATAAAGTATATTTGTGCAGGTCCATCTTGCATAGACTGGCATAAAAGACAAAGATTATAAAGGAAATTTATTAATGAAAAATGCCTTGGAAATCTTAAAACAGCAGTTTTTGCAGAAGCAGGATACATTATTTTATAAAGCCCTTTTTGTTTCATTTCTGTATGAAGGATGACTGATAATCTTCATTATCAAACGAATGTAGAGAACTGATTTGCCATAAACAGTAAACTTAAATCAGAGACCCTGTAACATTAAGAGAGAACCTTAACCATAAATTTAACTCCACTTCTTTCAAACCAGCAGCCAACTGATCCCACTTTCCCCCGTTTATTTTAAATCCATCTTTGCTAATTTAGTGTCGTGATCTTGTATACACACCTTTTCATTTCTTCGGTTCCATCCTTTAATGGTTCTGCAGTCCTAAGGTCCTGCAAGTTGTCACAAGGGATGCTATCGCTTGGGGTGACAAAGGAGAAGCATTTACAGCCTGCCAGTTATCATGGCTTCCCACTGACAAGCAGGAACTGGTGACTCCTGAGGGAACCCCATCAAAAATCTCAGCCTCACTGTTGTGGATGGAAGGCTTCTCCCTCAGAGCAGCACTACTCAGCAGGTTTCCAGACTGTGAAGGAACCACCACCACCACCACCACCACCACCACCACCACCACCACCACCACCACCACCACCACCACCACCACCACCAAGGCAAGCTGGTAGTTACCAGCTCCCTCCGAGAAAACAAAACTTACAGGCGAGTGGAAATGAACAAGCAGGGAAAACAGAGTGTGCGACCATCACAGTTTGTTAAATGCCTCTGTTCAGCAGACCAGGGGGGAAAAAAATGTCAGACCAGGTAAGGATGAATCCCTGGAACAGGAGACCCCACCATCACTACCCTCGTTCACTTTGATTCTTCGGCAGAACCACCTGCAGCAGACCTATTTTCTATGATTTACAAAAGGCAGCCAACTCCTAATTCGGTGGCTTCCGTGGACACGGAGCTGCACACGTCTCTGACAAGCCTCATTACTGTGAATTGCCTAGCCTTCCAGTGATTCACAAAAGGTACTGATGTGGTTCTCACATTCACCCTTTAAAGGTGACGGTAACCACAGGCTAATCTCCAAATGGTTGGCAGAAAAGGGATATGCAATTGCCCAAAGCCAAAAAATAAATCGAGTTCATCTCGGCCTACATCCTGACCCTCTCTATACAAGTTTAAAAAAAAAAAATGCTCAAGAAAAATAAACATTTAAGTTTTGACATGAGCTTCAAAAATTATAGTTATGCTTCTAATTCTTAGTCATCTCTTTATATAGTAAGACAATTTGAAAAACTGAATGATTATACAATTAAAATTTTAGGTCATCATAATTTCCTTGACTAAATGGCTTAAAAATATGGAACACCAAATTCTTAAGACTCCTAAAAGACCTGTTTTAACCAGCCTGAGGTGGTTTCCAGATCCAGGAGCCCCTTGTGGGTAAAAAAAAAAAAAAAAAAAAAAAAAAAAAAAATAGAGGGGTTTTGAAAAAGTTCAATGACCTTGTAAATTAAGGACTAAAAATAAATAAATAAATATAAAACCGTAACTAGTGTGGTAGCCTGGACAGTCCCCATGGAATTACAGGAAAGCACTCATCCGGAAATTGCTATTTTGGAAAATTACTATGCGGTAGGGGGGAAAGAGGGAGTATGATGGGGAGGGGATATTGCAAAGGTTTAGATGCCGAAAGGGGAACAAACGAGGCGAAATGCAACCAGCTGCCACGCAAACAACTTCTAGGCATCTTGGGGTAAAAAGGAAAACAACCCTTTTGCTGGATGCTGGAGAGTTGGATGAATGGAGAAGACTTGTTATACACCTAGTGGTGGGTGGATTTCACAGGCTGCAGCCTCCACACAGCTTTTCTATGCTGCACTGCAGAGGCGCCATCTTCTCCGTCTTAATCTTCACTCTACTCAACCCTTTTATCTGCACGCTTAAAAAAAAAAAAAAAAGACCCCGAGGACCCTCCCCAGCATCCTGCGCCCCTCAGGGTGACCAAGCTAAGAGTCCCCAGAACTGCCCTGAGGAGGCCGCACCTTAATCAGACAATCAGCCTCCTTTGATGCACAAGAGCCCCAGCCTCCCCACCACCAGGCACTGCCCTTTCCAGACGCACGCCTCACTCTGGGCTCTCTTTCTCGCTCTCTCGGCGAGGACTTTGCAGCCTCGCACAGGATTGGCACTAGGCGGTGGTGATGCGGGGGTGGGAGATCTCGGGGCTCCAAACAGCACCCCCCCCCCCAGGCCCTCGGGAACAGACGCGCAGCTCGGGGAAGGGAAGCCGCGGTGGCGCACAAACTACCACACTCCGCCACCGCGCCCTGGACGGCGAGGGCGGGGTGTCGCGGCTTTTGTTCCCGGGGACCTTCTCCAGTCCCTGGGAGAAAACTGCAGGTACAACCGAGAGCCCGGGACGTCCAGCCTGAAGGACGGGGCCGAGTGGCCGCAGCTCTCCGATGCCTCTCATCACTTGCAACTTACACAAAAGGGAGAGACGGAAATGCACAAAGTTTGCCGGAGGAAGGCGGTGCGCGACCCCGCGCCCGCTACGGAGAGGGTCGCTGCGCAGGCGGGCGGCGGCTGCCAGGAGCAAAGCCCAGCTTCGCAGCGCAGTCGGGCGGGGGTGGGAAGGGAAGGTGAGCGCCAGGCGCTCCCCCAGCGTCCAGAGCTGCCCCCATTCCAACCCAGGACTCCCGGGAAGGGGAAGGGCGGCGATTTCCTCGCGGGCCACTGGATTGTGAGACTCTGCGCTTTCAGTTTTCCACACGTGTCCCCTTCCCCCCCCACTCCCCTACCCCCACGAACTGGGTGTCTCTCGCATCCCCGAGACCGGCTCTCGAGGCAGGGAGGAGTCGGGGTCTGTGCTCAGGCTCGTCCCCTCACCCTCACCGGGGCGGGCGCGGATGTGGGGAGCCCCGCGCCTCACCCGCTCCCTCTCCACCGGTCGGGCAGCGCGTCCCCGGGAAGGGCTGGGCCAGAGGCGCCGATGCGCAGGGCAGCCGCAGGCGGGGGCGGCCAAGAGCGGGATACCCGTGACAGTCCCCCGCCTCTCACGATTCAAGCTCCGAGGTGGAGACGATCGGGTCCTCCCGGCGCCCGCCTTCTGCCCCCCACCCCACCCCCGGCCCCCCAGCCCCCGTCTCTTTTTCCCAGGCGCGGCACCCACCTCCAGCGCCCGAACCGTCCAGGCGGCCAGCAAGAGCAGTGCCAAGCTGGGCAGCATCGTGATCCTGCTTGGGGCACCGGGTGCTCTGGGTGCGAAGGGGAGATCCGCCGCGCCCTGGCTGTGTCCGCGTCGCCGCCGCCGTCTCCCGTAGCCCCCGCGCTCTGCTCTGCTCTGCTCTGCTCTGCTCCGGGTGCTCTCGCCTCCCGCCGCCGCCGCCGCCGAGGAAACTGACAGAGCTGGAGCGCGGCGGCGGGGCTCGCAGCCGGGAGAGTCAGCTGATCCCGCCCACCCGGCTCGCCACCACCCGACAGAGACCCCTAGCGGAGCCCCGGGGAGCTGCGCCCGTGCGCAACGGGAGGGCCACCCGGGCCAGGAGCCCACAGGTGCGGGTGTCCTGGGCACCAGCGCGCGGCTACGGTACCCACGGCCCCGCTCTGGGCTCCGGGAGCCAAGGGAGGGATGATCGGGGTCCGGGAGAGGGACCGGCAGACGGGGTTTGAGCGGGAAGGTGAATCCTAGGACGTTTGGGTTCCAGGACAGTCGGGAGCGCTCCCCGGCTCGTCCTCGTGAGCTTGAGTCACCCGACCCCGCAGGCCTCTCTGGAATGTGTTTGAGGAGCTTCTGCTGCGATGCATTTTTATCCGCAGTTCATTTGCTCCGTTTGGAGAGGTGGCGCGAGGCCGACAACATTAGCAATGGGATTCTTTTTTTTTTTTTTTTTTAAGAAGGGCAACCTCCATTCCCCATCAGCAACCTGGGATTTTTGGCATGCGACCTAGGACACAGAATGACCGTTTTCTTTATGTTTGGAGTGTGTGTGTGTGTGTGTGTGTGTGTGTGTGTGTGTGTGTGTGTGTGTGTGTGTCGGGGGAGGGGGTATTTTTTAATTGTTGTTGCATTTTTGTTTGATTTGGGAGATTTCAGAGAAGGGGATCGGCATCCGGGATTGGAGGAGGCAGGGAGGTAAAAAATCTAAGATGGAGAAGAGATCAAACTTGATCTGGAAAAGATCTGGAGCTATGGCTCTTGTCCTCCAGCTCCAAGGACTTTGTGCTGAACTCTACTCTTGTTCTTTTTTGCGTCTGTCCCAAATCACAGAAAAGAACCTCTGTACAGCCTAGATTTTCTCCTAGATTAAAGTGTCCAGTGCTAGAATGGCCTAGAACCATCCATTCTGACCGGATGTGACATCAGGCCCAAAGCCATTGGCCCGCCCTAAGCTAGTGAGAGGAGACAGGGGATAATGCCAGGTGAGTTTCTGGCTCTGAGGCCACTACCCTTCTCCTCACCTGATGTGTTTTTTAATAACCTGGCGTGAGCAGTGGTCACCTGGGAACCTAAAATAAGAGAAATGCCTCCATCAGATTAGCCTGTAGGCAAGTCTGTGGAGACATATTCTTGATTACTGATTGATGGGATAGGCGAGCCCTGGGCAGGCGGTCTTGGGCTGTAAAAGAAAACAGGCCAAGCAAGCCATGAGGAGCAAAGCAGTAAGCAGCTTCCAGCATGGCCTCTGCCTCAGCTTCTGCTTCGGGTTCCAGTCTTCAGTTCCTGCTCTGACTTCCCTTCATGATGGACTGTGAGCAGAATGTGTAAGCTAAATAAACCCTTTCCTCAAGTTACTTTTGGTCATGATTTTTGTTTTTTTATCACAGCAATAGAAAGCAAATGAGAACACCTGCTCTTCCACAGAGCAAGGAATCCCTGCGAGGGTGGTGGGAGGATGTGTCCCCACCCGTTCCTTTCTGAGAAGTCAGCATTGATCTACCAGCTCGCCTAAATACCATCTGTCCAACTCTACATAGAGTTTTTTTTTTTTGTCCTGCATGTCCTTTGAATGCCCTGAACAAATAACAACAAATATTTGCTATGCAATATTTGCTTTTATTATTTATGGCATTCACTTCCTACAAAAGCCAAGGAAAGGATAGGGAGATGGCTCCGTTGGCAAAGCACACAAGCAGAAGGACTTGAGTTCCATCCCTGAAAGCCACATGAACATGTCAGTCATGCCAGCATCTGCCTGGGATGGAGACAGACAGACTCTAAGGTGGACAACACCCGAGGAACATCATCTAAGGATGGCTTGCAGTGCGCACCCCCCCTACACACACACACACACACACACACACACACACACACACACACACACACACACACGGAAGCCATTGCTATTATCATACCCATTTAAAAGTCAGGAAAGCTGTAACTGTAGCTTTAACAGTAGAGTGACTGGTTGCTCAGTAAAGTGGAAAGCTCACCCCTCAGCCACCTTTTCCTGGCATCTGAAAATTAGAAAGGGAAGCTAGTCAACTAAGAAATCTGTGAACAAGAGGCTGACACAAAGCTGGACTCTCAGGGAAAAAAAAAAAACAATGAGAAACAATACAGCGGAGCTTTCACCTCACACTCCTTCCCAAACACACTTACCTCCCCAGCATCATGACCTGTTTGTGTGAACAAGGGAGGCGCCTGAATACCTAGGAGGTGGGGAGACATCAGGCCTGGTTCCAAATCTCGTGCGATCATACTGAAAAATGAAAGCCTGAGACCTTCTGTCCAAAATGAAACGTTGTTATGATGGAGATGCTGGGACATTAGCCTGAGCTCTTCTGAGCACAGTTTGTAGACCCTGTGTGTGCTCCAGGGAAAGAGGCGGGGATTTAACAAGAGGGGGCAGTTGTCTCTTACTGAGCAGCAATTTAAAAATTACAATGATAAGGCTGGGCGGTGGTGGCGCACGCCTTTAATCCCAGCACTCAGGAGGCAGAGCCAGGCAGATCTCTGTGAGTTCAAGGCCAGCCTGGGCTACCAAGTGAGTTCCCGGAAAAGGCACAAAGCTACACAGAGAAACCCTGACTCGAAAAACCAAA